CAGTTCAGATTATAAATCTTAAAAATGCCAATCTGAAACTGAACTGAACTGTAAACTGGTAAAAATCTGAACTGAACCAAAAATTTCGGATTAATCTGAAATTTCAGATCATTCCAATTGAATGATTCTTTTATCGTTTATTTAGAACGATAATTTAATTTTTCCAATTGAACGATTTTTTTATCGTTCGTTTGAAACGATAATTTCATCGTTCTAATCAAATGATTCTTTTATCGTTCGTTTGGAATGATAATTTGATCGTTCCAATCGAACGATTTTCTTATCATTCATTTGAAATGATAATTTAATCATTCCAATTGAACAATTTTTTTATCATTAGTTTAGAATGATAATTTCATCGTTCTAATCGAACAATTTTCTTATCGTTTCGTTTAGAATGATAACTTCAATCATTCCAAATGAACAATTCTTTTATCGTTCTTTTGGAACGATAATTTGATTATTTCTATTGAACGATTCTTTTATCGTTCTTTTGAAACAATAATTTGATCATTCTAATTGAACGATTCTTTTATCGTTCTTTTAGAACGATAATTTAATCGTTCCAAACGATCCAAAATTTTTAGTTCAGTTCAGATTTTTTTTCAGTTCAGATTAGATTTATAATCTAAAAAAAATCTGAACTGAACTGAAAATTTTCAGATTGAATATTTGCAATCCGAAACTGAACTGAAGTTGATCTGAACCGAAAATTTTCAGATTAATCTGAACCATTTAGAGCTTTAGTTGGATAAGTGTTGCATAGAAATTTTTAAAGCCATAATTATAGTAGTATTTAGGAATCAAGAATCCCCAAGATCGCTTCATTGATCTTTCTGAATAATACTTCGTTATAAATTAGAAGATCTAATTCGAAATAGGCAAATCAGGTTTTTATCCTGCAGGTGGTACATTTTATAATTATACTAGGCATTTATACATGCAAATTATATAGCATAAAAAAAACGGAATATAGTTGAGATATTATTTAGTCAAAAGTAATAATTTACATTGCTTAGAATCAGTCAGTTAAAACAGTTAAACAATTGTGATTTTTACTCCATCTCTCAATCTTATTGTGATACCTTTTGGCTGATTAAGATGTTTTGTGGATATTAATAAGTTATTTTATTTCGCATACAGAGATAAGATAAATAGCATGTTTGGAGTCGACAAGTATGGCTCAAAAACTTGTTGCTTAATCTTGCACATCCAAGATCACTTAAAGGATCAGAACATTCTTGATCCCAATGTTCTTGCATCATATCCTTAGCTTCAATCAATTCAATGAATCTATGCTATCTATGGTAGTATAATTTGGTTGGCTTTATTTCATTAACTTGAAATAGTTTCCAGCAATGAAAGCAGATTGCCATATTGTTTTATGAATTTTAGGATGATAATAAGAATAATATGATTTGCCAAATTTGCCTTCACCAACTCCTGCAAATAAGCAAAAATTATAGTATATGCTATTTTCATTTCGTAATAATAAATATTGGAGAGTATTTTTAACTTGTAATCCCCACTGCACTGGAAACTCTCCCTTTCTCATTATTGATAATCTGTCATAGATTTTTTCATTAGCAAGAAATTTTTTGAAATCTATGCTACCATAGTAATTTTCGAGATATGTTCTATAATATTTCATATCATATACAGGACAGTTACTGATGGGATTAGAAAGCCTCCATTCTTTTTTATCAATAATCATATTAATGTTAGTAGCACTTGCCAAGATAACAACTTTCATATTTAGCAAATATACTGATTTATAGTATTTTTAGCAATTTCTAGCTATTTTTAAGTAACATATACTATAGAATATCATCATTCAAGTTTATACAGATTTACTGATTAGCAATTAGTAAATCCTTTATTTGATTATGCCCTTGTTCAGGATAAAATATTGGTATAATTCAGCTAAATTGGATCCGATCACCATAGACGGCTAAATTATCTTCGGCTAAAATTTATATCACATATGATTTCCTTAGTTTCCTGCCAGTTCCTCGATAGTTCTAAGAATGTTCCAGGCGCTGGCGAGTTTCTATAAATCATGAGATGATTGGCCAATCATATTTTGGATTTTTCCACAGTAGTTTCTTTTCCTTGTTGCGTTCCTTATCCCATCACTAATGTTTTTCTTATGTGAATTGTCTGGGAAAGTAACCATTTCTCTGACTTATGATTACTCATGGCAAAATCTGATTCGTTGATTATGTATCAGATTTATTTATAACATTTACAAGTTAAAAATTATACTTTATTTGTTAATGATGCCTATTCATTGATGGACATGCGTCTGAACAATTTTTATTAATATACACAACATTATACCGCATGTAGTACATATTGGTTTAAAAGATCATGCTTATATGACAATTGCTATAACTGATACAAATATGTTAGAATAATTAAAGTAATGATTTTTTTACGTGATTTTCAACGATTTAATAGTGAAAATTAATAATGTCTATTAATAGATCACTGTTCAATCGACATGTCAGACACATTTGATTCTTGCAATACAATTGATTCTTGTGACACATTTGATTCTTGCGACAATTTCGTTTTCTGAAAAGTCTGCTCCAACATGGTATTGTCATGTTCCTTTGTGACTTTCTTTCTATCTTCTGCCCCTTCTAGCCAATGAATAGCGATATGATTCATAAAATGAGAATAACATGCAGTTCCAACAAGTCCTGACCATTCAAAATTGATTAGCTTCACATCAAAACCACATTCTCTTTCACTATGTCGACAAACTAAAATATTGCCCTCGCACAAGTCTCCATGTACATAATCATTATCATGTAAAATTTGGATCACTCTAATAATTTCTGTTTTTAGGGAATTATGCTCACTACTATCAAGGGTATGGACGATTTTATCCAATGTTACATGATTTTGCAGATAACTCATATAAACCAAAAGTCAACCTTCAGGCATATATGTGGCCTCTATGATTTTTAGAGCATGATTTCCATTCGTAAGTAAAAAATTGTACGCTTGAAGTGAGTAATATTTTCTCTGAACAGCTTTCACGTACACTGAATGTTCTTGTACTTCACCATTCGTTTGAAGTATAGCCTCTCAAAGCAGATAAATACCATGTTGGGAACTAATTCGAACATTGTAAGTTTTGTTTCCTCCTGATTAGTTTCTTAACGTCAAATCAGGAAACAAAGGATATTGATGGTGGTAAATTTGAGATGCGTTTTTATAATACTGGTCTAGTTCTTGAAGAGATAACCTCAAAGCACGAAATGCTCTAGAAAGTAACAACATCATCTTTTCATTATTCTTGAACCAAATAAAGTGGTAGGTCGGGGTAAGAGGATCCATTATAGCAGTATCTGAAAGCACAGCACCGTATACAGTGAACGTGGACCCTAAAATGCAACTAAGTTATTCACAAATTCAGTAAAGATATATTAATGCGAGTTTACGGACATACCTGCAATATTAACCAAGAAACATGGCATATTAGTATTAGTATTTTCCTGATTCCTGCAAAACGACAAATAGTATTCACAGTTTTCGAGATGAGTATAGGAATTGGTCAAACATGTCTTGTTTTTGTATTCAATGTTAAGTTCACGATTTAAATCGTCAGTAGAGATCATGTCATCAGTACTTCAATTTCCACCAAGCATAACTGGTTCTACTTTAATATTAAGATATTTCGACAATAAACTATTTGCTATATCTCGACGCACATCTTCTTTGTCATAAAATTTAGCCATCTCACGACAAAAATTATAGGTAAAAAGGTTGTCCTCACGTTCTGGGTCTTCCTCACAGCGATCTTCAAATGTGCAAAAAATCAAACAATGAAGGGTAACAGGTACAATGCTAGAAGCTATTTGTGGGCAGTGATTGAGACAAATAGCTTTATTGCAGTTATTAAAATGCCATTCTGAAGGTTCTCCAAGTTTTGATGGTGTTGGTAAAGTATCTAGAATTTCTGTATGTCATGGAGTGGCCTGCAAATTCTTATGTTAGATAATAATTTATTTTATAATCAACAAATGATTACATACCTTTTATATCTAATATCATAACAGGACTTTTAGGTGAATTTTTATTAATTTCAATGAATTCAATGAAGGTTTTTTTAGAGTTGAATTTCACTTTTTTATTCACAATAATAAAGTCATAATCCACCATTGAGTTCATAAGACCGAAAAGTTTTTGAAGGCCTTCAAATAATCCAACAAAATCAACCCATGTGCCGTTATTAATAGGAATTACCCTTGATTGGTAATATTGGTAGTGTATATCGAGAAATAAGAAATAACACACGTTATCAACCATTCTCTAAATGAAATGATAACAGGAAAAAAAGTATATATCTGAAAGTCATTACTTACTCTTCTCTTCGACTTTAAGTATTTTCGTTGAAAGTTAAATACAAGAATGAAAAGTTAAAACCATATTGCGTTCACTCGCATTGACTAAATATATTACGACTTACTTACCAGCGACAGGTTGCTCTACGATAATGCGAATGTGTTTTTTTGGGAGGGTTTGATGATAAGAAGCAAAAAGAAAAGCACAAGAATAAGTAAGTATTCGGTATTATTGGCGAATATGACAGAGAAGACGAAAAAAATTATGCTATATCGCGTTGACTAAAAATTATTGACTCACCGGCGGCAACAGGAACTCTAACTACAACTCAAATGTTATTATCTTGAACTCCATAGAATGTGTTGCCAACTTTTTGCGTTGCGATTTTTATTTCATTTTCAACAGTCATTAAACAATTAGAGGTGTTACTCTCCAACTGACTTTCTTCAACATTAACACTCCATAAACTAAGGTTTTTAGCTTTTACGTTGTCAGGTATACTTATTTTCTCGAAGATAGCTTTCTTTAGATCAAAAATAGAATTATTGTTTCTAATGGTAACGGAGAAGGACTACTTCTGTATTCAAGACACCAAAGGGTAATAGGCGTACTATCAATAGACATTTTTACTGTTATTTTGTATCACAATGATAAATGAGGAAAGAAAAGAATATTTTTTGCAGAATTGGGTAACAAGTTAGTTTTATAGAGGGATCACAGATCTGATCAATGATGCAATCAAGTTTAATATAGGCGCAGTAGTCGGAATTCAGTCATATGATTTTTATTCTGTGACATTAAATGTCACAGCTAACAGGATTACACAACCAGTTTATATGAAGGAGTGTGACAAGCTTGTCACAGTAAAGTTACAGGCTACTAATTATTTGGAATATTACTCTGCAACAAAATTACATGATCACTATGCTACAATTGCGAACTTGAGTTTATTACTTGAAGTATTGCAGGCAAGACAATATTTTAACTTATCTTGGAAATACAATTTCGCTAATTCAGGATCATAAGGGAGCTGATTCCCATTTTCGCAGTACCATAAGCCATGTAATCCATAATTCCCATGTTTTCCATCGCAAATAGGACATGGTGAGCTCCACGGCTGAGGTGATGCAAAATTATAATTATCAAACCCTCTAAAACTATTTTGGAATTTCAGGTATGTGAAATACTTTAAGACGGACTTGATAATTAATTCTGGATCTGGTTTGACTTTAAAAGTGATGGGCCCTTTTTCTTAACATTGCTTACCGAAGGAGGGAAAAGATAAATCGGATACTTTGTTTTCTGGCAAATTTATGACTTCCGATTTATGTACTTCTGATAGTTGATATAGCTCATTTCCAGTTTCTTTTTTATATCTTTTTATAATTTGAAACGAATCTTATCTATTAAAATACTTGGTAACCTAGTTAATTTGACATGCCAATCCAAATATTCAGGGGTTAGTATTTTATCAGACTCAGTCATTTTCCTTTTTATATGACTGCAAACAATTTAAATCCCTTTTTTTCTCATATAAACCTATTCATTCGAAAAAAAAGATTAATATTCCCAGATAGATTATTACTCTAAAGAGCTACCCAGACTATTGTAAAGCAATGAGACTACACAACTATCTCAATTTCACGCTGTTCACATTTAATAAAGTAAGATTTGGCTTTATACTCACCTTCTATTTCTTCTTCATCATGACTTAATTCGCATAATGGGCAGATGTAGTTCCCGCATGATGTCTTATCAGTAATTTTATAATAATTGAAATTTTCACTACTACATTCTATATTTAAATTAAGATATTGATCCAATATCTTTTTGCGAAAATAGGTGCGGTTATAGGTTGGATTAGATTGATTGAAAGAAGATACATTTTCCAATGTACTTACTTTAACTAAATCCAAGTATTTCTCTTGCACCTCTAATGCATTAGTTTGATTAGTTTTCAAAGTTTGAGAAGTGGGCGGAGTGTTTATTTTAACATCTGGTAATTTTTTTGGGATAGACCCTTGGCTTTTCTCAAGTGGAACTTTAGGTCTCACTTTTTCTATATCTTTGCATTCAGAGTATGAGTTAGGTTTTTTTATCTCCGTATCAGCATAGCAAGATTC